GAGAATTTCAAAATTATATTTCTTAAAATTAAACAATAAGAATTGACTATTATTACCTTAAAATTTTCATTTTAGTAAAATATTTTAATGGTCTAAAATGTATTAGCTTTGGGCATGAGCACTCATTGTTTGCTGAAGGGACGCTGCAGTAAAAAGGATTGGGAAACGCTGCTGTATACAGAGGGTTAGTTGCACTTTATATATGCAAATACAGTGGCGTGTTGCCACAAGCAAACTGTTTGGCACCTATATATTTGGCTCACATCGAATTCCCGACCATTTGACTTTGCAATGGCAGCCTTGGGAGAAAAAGAAATCCAGAAGAGAAATTTATCTCAGCCACAGTTCAACGATTTAGAGCAAAAGGGAACAACATTTAAAAAAAAAAAAAAACGCTTTCTGTGTCCTACACGCAAGTAGAAAGATTCGCGTTGAAAAGTTTTTAGGGCGGCAACAGACTCCAAAACTACACGCCAACACATAGCAACACCCTCATCCGAAAAATTAAAGATATGGCTACGAAAGAGAACCATCTGACCTAAAAAGCCATTGAAATTAAGCTGGATATTTCTCTTAACAAAGATTTGAAGTTTACAGTAGCCCGTGAGTCAAAAGTTCACAAACTTCCAGCTACATCTAAATATAAACGGCTGTTTTCATTAAAATAATGGCTGACTCACGGGAATCCCACTCGTTCACCAGTTAAGTCCCCGCCCCTGATACTTATGCGTAGTATTAGAAACTTACGTCAAGATGTATACTATAAAATTAATCTTGCCGTTCATTACAGAAACTGCAGTGTCAGGCGATAAATATATTGTCGTGCTCATAGACTGAGTGTTAAAAACGATAGAAGTCGTTCGAAAGCAAACACATAATCAGACACATCGTTCGTACGAATAATGTATAACCGTTACTGCATCAGTAGATTATTTTGTTCGTTCATGCCACATAACATTAACTTTGATATAACTTGATTTATTCACCTTGGCTCTGAATATTCAGTATATTTTTGTACAAGAAAAAATGTAAGTATATTTACATATAACTTAAATACAAAAAAAAATATCACTTATACTAAACTATTTTGAGTTCAAGACAAAACTATTTTATAAAAAAAAGTTTGATAGTATATTATCAGATTTTTTTTAAACTTCATAGTTTCAAAGTTTAACTTTTAATAGAGAAAAAATACGACATTGTTGGGTTTGTTTTTAACAAGTAAATATTTTATGTAGAATTATACACGGACTTTTTTCTATGTTAAAATAGAGAAAAGTCCGTGTATATTTATACATGTTAACTTACCTACGTTATGAGTCTTAAACAACAGATAAAGATTTTCATAGCTCTACATTACATACATTGTAAATAATGTTCATTAAGTTTGTTGTTGTTTTTTACGTAAGTGGACCTCATTTCAGTTCTGACCTAATTGTTTTCTGTTACTAAATACGATGTCTCGAGAGTTTCTGTAAAAAGTATATTAAACATATATTTTAAAAATAAAGAACAAACAGCCGATGGCCAACATAAAACATCGTTAGTTCCGCTAGGAAAAAATGGTTGCGAAAATCGCGTTTTTAGGTCACCCGGATCTGACTGACGCTACTTTGCTCCTGTTCCACTTTTCAGCGGTCAATGTCATTGCCAACGGCTCCAAATTTCGCCTACGTTCGAAAGTCAACTGAGGTTACAAGAAAACCTACATTTATTATCGCGATACTTCTATAAAAAAAATAATTAGGGTAAGACCAATACGCTTACTTAATCTACTGATTTATTTATCTTATTATTGTCTGTTAGTTGAAGATCTGTCGAATGAGAGCCACACATATGACATATAGAATACATTTTAGTTCCAGTGCTCGGTGATTGTACCATGTTATCTCATTGTTTTTAATTTGTACCAGTTGAGAGAAAAAATAAATATATGTACACCTCCCCCCCCCCTCTCTCTCCCTATTAATCGCTTCTAATATTCTACCCCTAAAAGGTACAAGGTTTGTCATTACGTTTTTTAACTTTGTTCCCTACCTTTTCTTTAGAAAATTAAATATTCACATAAAAAGTTTACTGTGGTAACTTTTGCATGGTCTTGATATTCACTTAACAATTCAGTGCCCTAAATTGTCTTTATATTCTATTAAATAAAGATTTTTTTTTTATGTTCGAGAATATACGTCTTGATCCATGTGCGTGAATAAATAAGTTTCAATGCAACCCTTCACTGTAGTTCTTGACAAAAATTACAAAATTTTGTTGCTGGAAATATACTACGATCTACAACTAGTAATTACAGAATTTGTGTGTGTGTTTTGGGTAAGCAGTTCAAAATTACTTACAATCACATGGTGGAATGAATTCATTGCACTATCAGAAATGGAATAACACATTTTCTTTTCGAATAATCCCACGGTGGGCCAGCTAAAGTCCGGGGTTTGCAGTTGACGGAGCATAGATAGTCTATTATGTAGTTTTGCACTGATAAACCAACAACGATAACTTTTCGAATAATAGATATCTATCAAAAACCGCATTTTGAAAAAATGATATCCTCCAGTATTAAAGAACAATTTTTATCAGAATTATCGGACAAAGATGATATGAGATTTAAATGAAATAAACAACTATCTTCATCATCATAATCACCCTAAAATTGTGTGAGATTTAAGAAAAACAGTACAAGGAGAGACTTTATAGAAGTTAACAGGGTTTTTTATAGTGTGCAGTTGATCACAAATTGTGCACCTGTAAATATGTTTGTGCAGTTGAAAATTCACCTATATACGAAATTTCAAGTGAATAAATATAAAAAAAAACATTTAAGATTATAAAATTCCATTCCAGAGTTGATAAGTAAATGCATTTACTAGAATATATATATATATATTGGATCATTTGTTATTAGGCCTGTATATATGAGGTGCTATAAGGCATCATGTATTAAAAAATGATGAAGTTAAAATATAATTGTGCAGTTGAGAAGAATCCTTAGGAAAAGCTCTGGGAGTTAAACTATGTCTTAAATATCGTACAATCACCCAAAGCCTAGTAACGGGAAATTAAATTTAAATTATATAAAATAGCCACGAGTCTAGAGTGAGGCCTGAAGTGATCCTCGAAAATGATTTCACGGACTGAGGAAGATAAAATTTAAACTGATAATCACTTCGGTTATTTTTCGAAGTCCATATTTAATTCATGGGCAGTAAGAATAACGAATCCTGGCGATCAAGTTGTGTGGATAGCAGTCATTACATGGTATAGTTGGCTTTCCACAGTAGATGATGTTATTGAGAATTTTATTCCATTCCCCAGTCAGTGCAAAGAAGATTTCTAACATAGAGAGATGGAATAAGACTCTAACACCCTGCACGGTGTCCAAGATACTCCATAAGATATAGATTTATTGCTGGATAATCCATTACCTCTGCGATTCTTGTTCAAGTAGTCCATCATAATCCTACCGGTTTGTCCCTCGACATTATCATTATATTGTATCAGGATAAAGTTTGGTTCGGTTGCATCCATAGTTATTACAAATGGACCTAATACAGGGTGATTATAAAGAACTTTTCTCAGTTCAGCACGTCATATCTCACAAACGGTAGGGCATAAGAAGTTTAAAACACATAGGGGTGTGTTAAGGGTATCATATGGATACAAATGCCTCATTTGTACGTGTTTAATATAACTCATTTTCAGATTCAAATAAACGCCGTGAGAGTGATAATCCATTTCCTAAAAAATTTGTTTTGGAACATCTTAATCAAGTTACCTCTAATTTTTCTACACAAGTGAAAAAGCTTAAATTGTTTTATATACAGTACGTCATACTAAACATCATAAATTTATGTAAGTAAGAATTGAAGCTAAACAGTATTGCTGTCACACATATTGAAACATTTCTTGAGATAACGGATGATTTTTCTTAGATCAGCATTTTCAAAATTATAGTTTAGAAAATGCTGATCTAAACAAATTTGAGAAATATTTTTAAAAAATTAAGAACATTTACATCAACTAATTACCAAAGCCCAGGCCAAATAACAACCATGTAATATAGCCAGATTGTCATCGTATTCGTTATTTGAGTTTTACAATACTAACTTCAAATTTCAGTACAGGAAATATATCTGTAGAGTTAAGGGCTGTTTTACTTTTATTTCACAGTGGGATTTATAGGTTAAAACAACCATTGTTTTCTTCATGTGTTTACCAAGGTCGTGTATTTAGTTCAGTTTGTACTACAAAAGTTCAGAAGATGTTGTTTATGTAAATCGTAGGCATAATTTTATTATTCGCTGTTAAAAAAGCAACTTGATAACATAAACGCTTAATTATCCAATGATAGCAATAACCATACACTACTCAAGGTAGGGTGGGCGTGGCCAAGTGGTTAGCGTGCCAAACTGTATATACGAGGGTTCGCGGTTCGTGTCCCTTTGCCCCCAAATCATACTTCACACTTTGGACTCGTGTGTACGTTATAAGATTGATGGCCAAATCTCATTAACCTATTAAAATAGACCAAGAGTTAGCGGAGGGTACGGTTAACACTTTCACTCTAGTCTATCAGTTTAAAATTAGGGCCAGCCATTGTGTACGTCCAGAACACAAAACAATCTGCTCATCATACAATAAACAGAGCGGGTGCAGTTCACGAACACAATGTTCGTGTAGGAGGATATTAGTCTGACCAATCACGGTGAATGGGCAAGATTTCCTTTATCTTGGATTGTTGTATTTATACATAAAGCCAATTTACGTTTGATACTCAGTTTTTTTTGGAAACCATGGATATCACGTGTATCATATGTTCTTTAGTTTCCCAAAATGAGGAGTCATTTGATGGGCATTTTCAAACCAATGACTTTGGGGATTGTACATGTATTTTGTTTATGGAAACTTATTTATATGATCACATACTTGACTTTCCGGAGATATTATTGCTCTGAACTATTGGTGTTCTACGAATACAATATTCTGTTTTCCAGATGACGAATTATTTTAAAAATGGAGATGAGGATAGGTACTCATCCTGTGAAGGAAGATGTTCTTAAAAATCCGATGGAGTTTAAGACCTCATCTGTAATTCTAGGAGTAAAAAAAAAGTGTCCTGGTGCTTCACCGGTAAGCTTTATCTATATATATAAATCACAAATAGCTGTGTGTCTGTCTATCCGTTATCTAACTACTCCTAGGTCACTGGGCCAATTTCAACTAAACTTTGTGGGATGATAGTTTGGAAGAATGGGTATGCTAATGGGGGTTCATAACCCCTCCATCCCTATTATTGCTACTATTGAGCATTATCTTTGACGTAAGGTAATGTTAACTACGTTCATAGATGGCGCCACGTCCTAACACAAAAAAAAATCTTTATTAAATTTTCTATAACGCAACATACACAGATTATGGGGGAGAGCACACAAACGTCTTATATATATCTCAGAGAATTTGCTATAATAATATATTATGCTATAAATAAATTGTGTGAAAGTTAGAATTTTTTGTGTTATTTCTCATAGCATCTACCCATACATTTTTAAAAGTTCATAACTCGAACAAAGGACGGGTACCTCAGCTTGTGGCCTGTAATCGTAAAATTTTTATCTGATTCCCGAGATGAACATAGCACATGACTGATTATATAGTTTTGCGCTAAAACAAACAATAAAAAGTTAGAAAAATAGCTAATAAACAGTAACAGATAAACTCCATATATAAAATACTTGTATAATTCACAGAAGCTGGTACCATATATCAATATAGATAAAGATATAAAGAGATTTACAAACGTATGATCTTTTCCGAAACCACTTTTCTATTTCTCTGGATTTTGAAATAAAAATCAATGTTACAAACGTTTTGTTACACATACAGTTTTTAATCAATGTTTCCATTTTTTATTACAATAACAAATGTTCAAAGCAGTCTATCATTTTTATTAAGTAACTAAAATAATATTGTTACATTCGATAGTACTATACTTTCAAATTCAATATACGTTCTCAATGTTCACGTCTACACTTGGATTTTTTGGGATATAGTTTATAGTAATAGTGTACCGCTCTAATGTATTGACCACAATTTGTTTTACCACTTGTTAGCTTAATGTATTATTAGATATATAGTTAATATTACTTATATACCAGTTTTGTATATAGTATGGCATTACGTCATTAGTTTAGTTGCTTTAGTTTTTATCATTATTTTCTTTTCTATATTTAATACTGTTGTTTCTTTCCTTTCTAAGTATTATTATTTTTATTGAACTTTATACTTTTTTGAAGGCTTCATTTTTCGGCGTTAACAAAAGATTTAACGTGATTTGTCATTTTTTGTAGCCAGGTCTAAGTATTTGCAACAGGGAATAATTAAACTAAGAGTGGTAAGGTTTCTACACACACGACATCTTACGTTTATCATGTTGTTTTATTTGTATTACATTTAACATTGTTACATTTTCATGGACAGTTCAGGTTTTATTTTAATTTTTTATTCGTCATTTTTCATTTTCATAAACATTAATTTTTGTCTGTACTATGGGGAAATTATTACTACAAATTCAAGACAGTTTAAACAGTAACATGAATCGAATACATCTGTAATTCGTCTACGACACTAGTAAATAGAAGTGGTGCAAGGAGTTTTTTATCAAAAGACGAAATAGGAGAACTAGAGAAAAATTACGTATATTATAACGAGTCCACGTTTTCCAAACAAATTTCTTCATGGCCAAGTGGTTAGGGCGCTCGAGTCGCAATCTGAGAGTCACGGGTTCGAATTCCCGTCACACCAAAAACATGCTCCCCCTTTCAGCCTTGAGAGCGTTATAATGTGACGGTCAATCCCACTACTCGTTGGTAAAAGAGTAACCCAAGGGTTTGTGGTGGGTGGTGATGACTAGCTGCCTTCCCTCTAGTCTTATACTGCTAAATTAGGGACGGCTAGCGCAGATAACCCTCGTGTAGCTTTGCGCGAAATTCAAAACAAACAAACATTTTACGAAAGTCCCTGTTATTAAAAATTATTTATTGTTTAAATTTTAACTTTGTATTTCTTTTCATTTTAAATACGCTATATTATTTATTGTTACTTTCACTAACAGTATTGATTAATTTTTTTTTGCTTTAATTTTTCGTTTATTGTCATACATTGAATATAATAGATTGTTTTACATTGTTAGCTTAATATATGGATTTAGGTCTAATCTAAATCTCCTAGGCTGGCTGAACCACGCGAGATATTTTTGGAATTACTGCCGAAAATATCGTTAACAGCGAGGGTGCCCAACTGATGAAACAACGCATTGTTATTTTTATCCCTAACCACCTGACCATGCCGGGCCACTTCCCCGGCATGGCCAGGTGGTTAGGGTGCTCGACTCGCAGTCTGCGGGTCGTGGGTTCGAATCTCCGTCACACCAAACATGCTCCCCTTTCAGACTTGGGGGCGTTATAATGTGACGGTCAATCCCACTATTCGTTGGTAAAAGAGTAGCCCAAGAGTTGGCGGTGGGTGGTGATGACTAGCTAATATAATTTTGTATACCTCCAACCTATGGTATAAAAAATCGTATGCAATTAACTTTTCCTCGCCCTACGCTTGATAGATTATAGATGGAGTTCAACGCAGAGGCGTCGCTAGGCACTGGCACGTGGGGATGTAACCCGACTGTATTTGACAGTGCCCCGAATCCGTAGTTGGTGTCTTGAAAAATCAGAATAATAAATCGTGATCGATATCGTACAGAAACGCCGAAAATCCCCGCGTCTATGGGATCGAATTCCGAATCTTTTAAGCACCTAGCGACGCCTCTGGTTCAATACCTGACGTGTATAGTAATATTTAAGTAAACACTGAATACTTTAAAGTGTGCAACTTTCAACTAATGGTAAACGGGTTAATTTGTTTTTGTTTTGTTTTAAACTAACCAATGACACGTGGAATAACTTATCTTTTTGAGGTGGTTTTTGTATCCTAAAACTTCAGCTACAATATTGTTTTATGTAAAGTTGTTAAAACAACCTTATCATTTTTTTTATGTATTTAGCAACAAATACTGCATGTTTTTAATGCAAATTTTGATTATATTAAGTATTATAACGAAATATATGGCGATGTATCACTTCCACAGAATGTTTATCATTAAACAACAGTGGTCATCAGTTGGACAATCAAATGTACTGAACTCTCCACGTGCATATTTAAAATTATACATTGTGAATAAAAATCATACAAGCACTTTCTGCAGGAAGACCAATAATTTTATTATCCTTTTGTTGTTAAATTATAACTTCACTTAAGTGGTCAAATTTGTTGTAGAAAAGACCATAATCTAAGGTCAAAGGGAAAAAAGAAAAGAAAAAAGCTTATCAGAGGAATTTCAGACAGAGTGAATCAATTCGGACGTGTTTTTTTTTTTTTTTGTCTTTGTTTGTGTGATAAAATGTTTTACTTGAAGACTCAATTTGATATATCGTAACTTATTATTACTTTAAAGGGTGAAATATCAACTTGTCGATAATCTGACATCTGATTTAGTTCTGGACAGTAACACACACTTCAAGCGTTAATGTAGGGTTTCAGTCTCATCTTGATACGGTAAAGGTCCGCCCAGAAAAAAAAACATTTCTACTAGGTCAAGGACAACCAGGCACCAGAAAATAAATGAGCGTTTTCGGGCAAAAGTATCCCACGGGAAGGTCGAATTCCTTCCTTCCCCCACCCCTCTCACAAACGCTGGTGTCATTTGATGGTGAGAAGTAAGAGATGCACTCGTGTTTGTAAATTCATTTCAGTTAAACCTGGTAGCAGCTATTGTATGTAAAATGTTAGTTGCAAAATGCAAAGCTAGGTTTTTCGCTATAAAAACTAGACATCTATTTCCAATCCAGATTTCTGTCATATGACCATTCACCTGCTAAATATGTAGCTAAATGAATGCTATTTTCGTTCTATTCAAAGCTATTAGGCATAGAATCCCAAATCTAGGACAAGATAAACTTCAATAGCCCATGATGTTAAATAAAGTTGTAATGGACTGTTGACGACTTGAAAAACGTTGTTAATGGAATGCATCTATCTAGGATTTTTTTTTTTTGAGACGTTTCGAGCTGCTAACGCAACTTTTCATCATTATACCAGAAACTCACGATGATTTGCGATAGCAACTCGAAACGTCGTCCAAAAACTTCCTAAACAAATGCAATCCATTAGCAACGTTTTACAAGTCGTCAGCAGTACATTACCAACGCCTTTCAAGTATACTCTCTTCTGTCTAAGCCTTCTCTGTAGTAAGTGACTGTTGAAGTAGTAAGAAGTGTAGCTTTGTGCCTAATAACAAACAGCAACATCCATCCTTCTAACTAGACTGGAGTCACCATCGTGCCTCTAAATAACATCGATATGTAATACGCACTCAACATCCATCCTTCTAACTAGACTGGAGTCACTATCGTGCCTCTAAATAACATCGATATGTAATACGCACTCAACATCCATCCTTCTAACTAGACTGGAGTCACTATCGTGCCTCTAAATAACATCGATATGTAATACGCACTCAACATCCATCCTTCTAACTAGACTGGAGTCACTATCGTGCCTCTAAATAACATCGATATGTAATACGCCACTTACTAAAAACAAATATGAAGACGAATACTTACTAAATCATCTTACTCAAACCAATTCTGTTTAAAAAGAAAGAAGGAAATTGAGAACGAATAAAGAAACAATAGAATACTTTAATATATGCAAATTTCAAAATCAGACCTATTGTTGTATCGTTTCCGGTGCAGAAAGTGTGTTGAACTACACAGAGGAGCGTCATACGAACTAGGTTAGAATCGGGTCACATCCGCTTATATCTTCAATACGTTGAGTTAAATCACTGACTATAAGAAAGTTCTATCCAAGAAAAGAAGATCGCGGATGTAAACTTGAAAAGAAAAATGCTGACGTCATCAGTAACAATTTCATCACGAAATCGCCTACTTCGTTTACTTCCTTGACGTGATTCTGCCTTGAAGATAAACTTTTTTATAATAGTTATTCAACAGAATATGTCTAGGCCTACCTGTGTATTTACCAGCATCTTTGAATCTTTAAATTACTGATAAAAG